GGGGGGGGGGGGGGCGATCAACAGAAAAAGAAAGGGCAAAACAATCTCACAAATAAGCATAAAAAAACCCAATATACTCAACAATGAAGCAAACAACAAAACGACAGAGAGAGAAAAAAAATTTGGATAGTGAAGAAAGAGAAGAGAGAGGTGTATATGGATTTAGAGCAGGGGATTGGAAATTAGATATATAAGTAGGGTGAAACTTTAATAGGGGGTAAAAAGAAGGAATAAGAAAAATCTAAAGCAGGAATAGGGTAAGAGAAACAGGACAGCCAAAGGGGAAAAGTGAGGAAGAGTGTTTTGGCATAAAGGTAAAGTTGAGGTAGAGTAAAATGACACTAAAGGGAAGATGAAAATAGAATGTAGAACACTAATCCCAAAATAAAATAAAGAGAAAATAAAATGACACTATAAAAAAAGTAAAATGGTAGTAGTAATAATACTGGTTAAAAATAAAAATGTAGTAATTAAAAAGGTAAAATCAGGTGACGAAGAAGAAAACAAATTAGTTTCTTGAGTAAAAGGTGGGAAAAAAAATGTTCAGTAGTGAAGGTCCTTCAATTCCTCTACTCTACTGTTTGGCACACCTTAGTCCTGTCAGGTATTCAGGAGAGTGTTGAAGTTCCCTGCAATACACTGTTCCTCCGTGTTGTAAACCACAGTCCTGATTTTAAAGCAGGCAGTATTTGTTTCCCAGACTGCCTTTATTTCTGTTTACAGAAGAGTCAGTTTGTGGTTCAGCCCCTGTGTGGCAGTGTTTCTGGATTGACCTCCAAGGCTCTAAGTCCTCTCTAGCCAGTAGTTAGGTTTTGTTTTCCCTATCACGCTTAATACTGGTTTGGGAGAGTCGACTGCCCCGGAACTGGTTCTTTGATCGTTACTCCCCACTATGATTCCCAGGTTTCACAATAACAACTTTCCCCTGCAGTCTCTGTGAGTGACCCCAATTGGGTGATCCTATGTATTGGGTTTAATAATCAAACACAGAGATTTAAGGGGGAGAGAGAGAGAAAAAAGAGCCAGAGAAGGTGCGCGAACTGACAACCCTCCACTGTCCAGCTCTGTGCGTAGTCTCTTCCACACGTCCTCTCTCCCCTGGCACTAAGCAGCCGGCACACTGGCAAAATCCGAGGGTGCCTTTTTGCACCCAGTCCAGCTATGGACTTATTTTTAGAGTTCCCTTCTGCCAGCAGCCCTGTGGGACCCCTTCCACACTCACGGATCACTCTGGCCCCAATGGTCGGGGACTTTGTGGGGCGCAGAGTTCCCCGCGTGTGTTCCTCTCTCCAACCTGGATTGCAAACTGCACCTTTAGGTGAAATCTGACCTTTCCGTGAGGAGGAGCAGGGCTTGTCTGAGTCCACATAGTCGCACTACTTGAGATGATCCCTGGATGCCATGGTTGCAGGGTCTCTGGATGTATATGCTTCAATATCAGCCGCTCAAGACAGCGCGGTCTCCGCGGCTGAGCCGGCCGCTCTGGAAGATTTCAGCAGCAGTGGAGGCTGCCCGGTTAGGGAAGCCCGATCTGGCAGTCTCCAACAGCCCCCCCTTTCTCCTGGAGTCCTCTGTCTTTCCCGGCTGCAAACTGTCTCCCAGCTGAATCTCCTCTGCCAATTTGGGCTGGATGGTACTGGTTTCAGCTGCTCACCCTATCTGCTCCAGGACAAGGCACGGGACACGTCCGTCTATACCGCCGCCATTTTAGATCTCTCCATTTTTCTTTATTCTCTAGCAAATAAGAGACTGTTGCCTTTCCCTGCACTGTACCTCCTCTGCTTCCTTCATAAATACTTTTATAAAGGAAGATAATCAAGATTTGTTAATGTGCCAGTAACTGTGTTAGTGTTATAATTTAATCTTCACATCAGTTTTATGAGATTAAGATTTTTTTTATCTATTTGACAGATGAAAATAAAGCTGAGTGGTGAGCTAATTTTCTGTTTTTTTCTTTTTTTTTCCCCACCCCTTGACATTCCCCTGGCCTCCCCTACCCCCTAGTGTCTTGTGTCCATTGGTTATTCTTATATACATGCATATAAGTCCTTCAGTTGATCTCTTAACCCACCCACCCAAACCCTCCCAGGTTCCCACTGTAGTTTGACAGTCTGTTCAATGCTGCTCTGCCTCTGCATCTACCCCTGTTAATCAGTCTATACTGGTCCCCATTATCTGTTTCAACCTCACCAGATTCGTCCCAACCACACTGGAGCTGTCCCGACCTTACCGGGGCCATCTCGACCTCACTGAGGCTATCTCGGCCTCGCCGGGGCCATTCCAGCCCCAATGCCGTCTCAACCTCACCCGGGCCTTTTCGGCCTCACCGGGGCTGTTTCAACCTCACCAGGCTGTCCCGATCTCACCAGGGCCGTCCTAACCTCACTGGAGCCGTCTCGACCTCGCCGGGGCCATTCCGGCCCCAGATGCCGTCTCAACCTCACTGGGGCCATTCCGACCTCACCACAGCCGTTTCGGCCTCACCGGGGCTATCCCAGCCTCACCGGGGCTGTTTCAACCTCACCGGGGCCGTCCCAACCTCACCAGGGCCGTTTCAACCTCACCGGTGCTGTCTCGAC